GCGGCCGAAGGCCGCCGAGCGCCGTCGACCACGAGAGCGAGGGCGGCGGTGGCGGGGGTCCATGAGTATGACGAGGGCGAGGCCGACGCAGCGGCGGCGGCGAGGTCGACAATGACGAGGGCGATGCCGAGGGCCGTTGACTGCGACGAGGGCGACGGCGGCATCGGGCGAGGGTGAGGGCGACGGCCTGGATAGTTTTTGCTGAAGGCTTGGCATCGCTCGGACGTGTGCATTTTTCTCCCAACCTTGCGGTTCCCGTTGTGTGTTCCCCTGGGGTGGTCTGGGGTGGGACCCCCTGGGACATTGCCCCGTCCACGGGCGGAACGCCGGCGGAAGCCGGCGGAAGACGGCCGCAATCGGCCTCATTTCGGCAGACGCGCTCCCGGGCGGCACGGACGGCCCCAAGATGGTCCGCAAGATGGTCCAAGAGGGCCACGAGTCGCCGAACGATCGGTCCAGACCGTTCAATATGGCCTCCAGACTACCCAGGGAGGCCCCAAGACGCCCCAGGATGCTCCAAGAAGCTTCTCAAGAGAGCCCCAGATGTCAGAATTCAGTTGTCTTGCTAAATTTTTCAGTGTTTTCGCGGTTTTGCCTTATCGGTCTCCCGAGGCTCCAAGACGGCCCAAGAGGCCCCAAAGATCGCCCCAAAACAGCCTAAGAGGTCCCCAAGAGAGCGCCCAGACGGTTCAAGACACCCCCAAGACGGCCCACGAGGTCTCCAAGACGGCCTAAGAGGGCCCGGGAACGCCCTAATAGGGGCCCCCGATAGGGGGCAGGGACCGACATTTTGGGATCTCTGCCCAAAGAGCCCCCCAGGAGGCCCCAAGAGGCCCCCAAGAGGCCCCAAGAAGCCTCCAAGAGATGTCCAGGAACCCCCCAGAGGCCCGCAAGAGGGCCCCGAGTCTGCCTAAGAAGGCCCCGAGATGGTCGGAGATGCCCCAGTGCCCGAAGACTGCCCAGAAGGGCTCCAAGATGGTCGGAGACGCCCCGACAGAGCGGCACAGCGTCGAACGGACAACAGGGGAACCAGAATTAATACGTCTTGAAGCTGCACGCCGTCAAACGGACAGCACGGGAATCTGCATGATGCGCCCTAATGGTATTCTCTTCTTTGTTTTCCTCTTCCTCACAAGTAACGCCCACCTGTCCTCCGAGGGCGGGCTTCGTGCCAATATCAGGTTTCGGCGAGGACCATCGAGGAGCATCTTGGACCATCTTGCGGACAAAATAAGCACGAAACTGAACAATGCCAGGGGAATGGGCGTCCGAGCGATGGCAATAAGGTTCTGGGGGCCAGAATGCGCTTTCTTGGCACAGGAGGCTGGAGAAGAGGTCATGCGCGGCTCTCTGGAGTTGGCCATGGGCCTGGGCTTCTGGAGGCCTCAGGCCCCAAAACGCCCCCAGGGTATAAACAAGCCATCGGGGTCTCAGGGAGGTGCCGCCGACTGAGCGCCCCCGGACGTTTTGGACGATGCCGTATCCCCTCGTGGCAGTTCTGAACAGGCCGGGCGCATCCAGCAGGCCTCGATTCCGCATGCGCGCACGTGCGTCTGCTCATCCTGCGCCCCCTCAAAGACATGGCTCTCGGCAGAGATGGCCCTCGGCCACATGCTGGCCAGTCGTGGCGGCTTCGCGCCGCGAGGGCGCGGAAACACCGAGGACGTCCCGAGGCGCCGCCGCGCGTTCGCGCGCGCGCGCGAGGCGGTGACGGACGGCGCCGTGGCGGCGCCCACCGCGGGCGACGAGGGCGGTGCCGACGGCGACGTGGGCGCGGAGGTGCTGCCGCCGCCGTCGCCGTCGTCGTCGTCGCCGTGGTGTTGGTGGTGGTCGTCGTTGTGACCGTCTTCGTCTTCGTCGTCGCCGTCGTCGTGACCGTCGTCGTCGTCGCCGTGATCGTCGAGTACTCACTTCTAGAGAATGGTTGTTTGTGGTCTACGGAAACGGTTCCAGGCGCTGTCGCCTCGACGCCTGTTTTTTTCTTTGAAGTGGAGGCTCCCGCTCGAGCGAGGCATGATTTTAAATGTGGCCTCTTCAGACCCTACGACGACAATTGCTCCTGCCCAATACTTCCTCGTAATTTGCTTCAGGGCGCCCTGGCCAGAGAGGCCCCCCAACTCGGGAACAGCGCTCTCGCTCGAGATTTCCTCGCAAGTCATTCAAGTTTGTGAAGGCTCGGCTTCGACGACAATGGATCCCGCTCGGTACGTCTTCGAAATTTACCCCACGACGCCCAGAGAGGCTCCCGAACTCAGGATCTGCGCTCTCGCTCGAGACTTCTTTGAAGGCCACTCAAGTTGACGAAAGCCCAGCTGCGACTACAATGGCTCCCGCTCGATACTGCTTCACAATTTGCTTCCAGACGCCCTGGCCAGAGGCGCCCCAACATACAAGAACGGCACCCTCGCTCGAGATCTTCACGCTCTTTAATCAAGCTGGTGACCGCCCAACTACGACGACAGCAGCTCACGTCAGATACTTCCTTACAGTTTTTTCTGAGATTCTCCTTCCAGAGAGGCCCCGAAACTGAGGAACGGCGCTCTCGCCCGGGACTTCCTCGTAATTCAGTCAAGTTTGTAACGGCCCCACCTGCGACGACAATAGCTCTGGCCCGATACGTCAACACACTTTACCTTGAGACGCCTTGGCCAGAGAGTCCCCGAAACTGAGGAATGGCGCTCTCGCCCGAGACTTCCTTGCAATTCAATCAAATTAGTGAGTTGCCCGCGGGCGCATTAGCTCGCATTACGGCCATGACTGCGCGGGTCCGCATACATAATATACCGCTGAATGAAATGACCCCCCCCCTCCAAAGGGGGCTCGTTCATAGACTCAGCGGGCGGTTGCACGGGAGAGGGAGAAACACATAAAGGTCAAATTTGCCAGATGACATGCTCGCAAGATGGCCGCCGTCGTTGTCGTCTTCGTCGCCGTCGTCGTGGTCGTTGTCGTGGTCGTCGTCGTGACCGCCGTTCTCGATGTCCTTTTCGTCGTGGTCGTCGTGGTCGTCGTCGTGGAGGTGGTCCGAGGGGGAATCGGCGGCAACGGTGTTGCACCTCATCATCCTCTCCTGGCCGCTTCTGCTCCTCCGGCTCCTGCTGCTCTTGCTTCTGCAACCTGTGCTCCTGCTGCGGCTGCCGCCGAGCCTTCTGATCCCTCTGCCTGCCCGTCTCCCTGCCGTTCCCGATCTTGCCGCTGCTGCTCCCCGCTTCGGCTCCCGCTGCCCCTGCTGCCGCCCCAGCAAGAAGAGAGGCTGACAAAAAGGCACGGGCCCGTCCGACAAGCATCAGCCGCCGCTGCAAGCGACGTGGCAGATACCCGGCGGCGTGCAGTGCTTCCACTCGCTCTCTCCCAGTGTGGTCTGCTGGGCGTCTCGCAAGCGCCTCTCTTCTGGTTTAGTTACGTTTCTTTTTAAGCTCACTTCGCTCTGACCCCCAGCGCACGAGGACGTTCCTCTTGTTGGGTCCCTTCTCGCAGGCCTCTCGGGCCCCTCTTGGGGGCCTTGGCTGAGGTCCTCTCGGGGCTCTCTTGGGGGCCTCTCGGGCCATCCTGGACTCTCCGAAGGCGGAATAAGTCGCGAGCGAAATTCATAGTCAAGCGCAAGAGGTTTGTCCGTCTCGTTCTTTCCCCCCCTCCCCCCAGGAAGGGGGTGAGGGAGGCATACTTGTGTAAATGCTGGACTCCTGCTCCTGCCCTCACGCGTCCGCAGCTGCAGAGAAACCGGCGGAATGGAAAGGAAGGGATGGGACGTCAGAGGTGACGCGCGCGCACCTCGCTTGGCTCTCTCCACTCCTCTCCTCTCCCCTCTTCTCTCCTCTCTCCTCTCCTCTCCTCTCTCCTCTCCTCTCCTCCCTTCTCCGCTCCTGTCCCGCCGCGTCCTCTGCCATGCCGCCCGCTCCCGTCCTCCTGCCCCCCTCCCTCTCCCGGCCCGCCCCCCCCGCCCTCTCCGCCTCGGCCGAGGCCGGCGTGCAGGCCCTCGGGCGCTGGCGCAGCGGGGGGCGGGGGCGGTACACGTGAGGCACTCGCTCGGAGGAGGAGGAGGAGGAGGAGGAGGAGGAGAGGGAGGAGGGCAGAGGGAGGAGGGAGAAGGACTCTACCGGACTCTCTACGACGCCGGATTGAAAACATCACATCGCATCCTCTCTACGACGCCTCCTCCGGCGGGGGGCGGGGGCGGGAGACTTGGCATCGCTCGGACGTGTGCATTTTTTCTCGGCGAGAACCATCGAGGACCATCCTGGACCATCGAGCAACAAAAAAACACGCGCGAAACCGAAACATGCACAGGAAATGGACGTCCGAGCGACGGCAAGGAGAGGGCCTCGCCTCTGAGGGTCGAAGGAGTTGCGTTCTCCTCCTCGGCGGGGGGCGGCGCAAGGGCGGCTGAAGCTGGCGGAGGTAAGGCGAGCCCGCCCCAGGCGGCGGAAGCCGGCAGAAGTCTGGCGGAAGACGGCGGAAGTAAACCTTTGACTCCGAAGAGATGGCACAATTTTTTTGGTTTAGGGGTCTTTGAGTCCGTCAAATGGGGGGGGCGGACGAAAGGTGCACCTTGTATCCCCCACAGGGGCCCAGAAAGTGGCCCAGACAGGGGCCCAACAGGGGGCCCAAAAGGGGGCCCAAAAGGGGCCCCAAAAGGGGCCCACAAGCTGGCACGAGAGGTGCACGTTTCCCCCCCGCCTCCCCCCCCCTCGTTTGATTGCCCCTCCATTTGCAAGGCCAGAGGCGGCCCGAGCCGAGTCGTTCCGAAACTGGGTCCCCTCTGCTCGGCTCTGCCCTGCCGGGGGCGCGCTGGTCTGCGCCGACGCGCTACCGTTCGTCGACATCGTCGTCGTTGGCGTCGCCGTCGTCGGCGGCGGCGTCGTCAGCGTCCGCGTCAGCGTCATCGTTCACGTCGTCGTCGTCGTCGTCGTCGCCGTCGTCGTCGTCGTCGTCGTCGTCGTCGTCGTCGTCGTCGTTGTCCCTGTCGTCGTCGCCCTCTGCTCTCCTCATCCTCGCCGCAGGACGCGGAGGACGGCGCGGAAGCGGACCGCGTCTTCAACTGTGAGGACGGGGGGGCGCCGCACACCGCCGCCGCGTCCTGCTCGTTCTCCTTGTGCTCGTCCTCGTCGCCTGCGCGGAGGGCGCCTCGTCTGCGGAGCGCGTGTGGTCGGTGTGCTGGCGGGTGCGGACGCAGCGCATTTTTGCAAGTGGTTGTGGCGAAGCGTGCGAGCTGTGTGCCGAAATGGGCACGGCGGTGCCATGCGGGCGGTGCCACTGGGGCCTTCGGTGAAGTTCCGTATGGGGCCACGGAGCGTGGGAGGGGTGTGCCGTCGTGGTCGCGGCGCTGCCATGCGGGCGCTGCCACTGAGGCCTCCGGTGGAGCCCCCTATGGGGCCAAAAAGCGGTGAGGGGTGTGCCACTGGGGCCTTCGATGGAGCTCCTTGTGAGGCTACGAAACGTGTGAGGGGTGTGCCGACGCGCTGTCTTTCAACGAGGACCCAACACCACAGGATGGCTGGTGACAAATAAAATATCTTGGCGAGCGGCCCGACCATATGCAGCTGTGAGTACTGCGGTTTTGAGAAGCGTCTTCGGTAGAGCTCCTTGTGGGGTCAAGAAATCGTGTGACGGATATGCCGAACTGGGTGCGGCGGCGCCATGCGGACCCTCCCCATTGGGGCCTTCGGTGGGGCTCACTGTGGGGCCGCAAAGCGTGTGAGAGGGTGTGTCGACATGGGCGCGGCGGTGCCATGTGGGCGCTGCCACTGGCGCTTTCGGTGGAGCTCCGTATGACGCCACCGAACTTTGGAGGGGTGTGCCGAAACGGGTGCGGTGCTGCCATGCGGGCGCTGCCACTGGGGCCTTCGGTAACGCATCCTATGGGGCCACGAAACGTGTGATGGGTGTACGCAGCCACTGGGGAGTTCGATGGAGCTCCCGATGGGGCCACGGAACGTGGGAGAGGTGCGCCGAAACGGGTGCGACGCTGCCGTGTGGGCGCTGCCACTTGGTCCTGCGGTGGCCTGTGGGGCCTCGAAGCTCGTGAGGGTTGTGCCGAAACGGTTGCGGTGCTGTCATGCGGGCGGTGTCATTGGGGCCTTCGGTGGAGGTCCCGACGGAGCCACGAAACGTCTGAGGGGTGTATCGAAACGGGTGCGGCGCTACCATGCAGGAGCTGCCACAACTAAACGGGTGAGGGGTGTGCCGAATCGGCGCCCTGCGAACGTAGCCACTGGGACCCTCGTTTGAGCTCCTTATGGGGTTAAGTCGGGCCTGTCCCTCTACAGGGGGAATCTTCAAAAATAGTAAAACAAATAGTGGACTATTTTTTGTTTTTTTTCTTCTCGTGACCATTTTAGAGTATTGTGTGAGTCTTTTTCATTTTTCGTCGAAAATCCCTCTGTAGGGGGACACGCCCGATTTAATTTTTGGGCTACGAAGCGTGCGAGGGGTATGCCAAATCGGGTGCGGGGCCGCCATGCCATGCGAAGGCAGCCACTGGGGCCTTCGGTGGAGCTCTCTTTGGGGCCACGAAACGTGTGAGGGGTGTGCCGGAGCGGGTGCGGCGGTGCCATGTGGGCGCTGCCACTGGGACCTTCGGTGGAGCTTTTTATTGAGTCACGCAGCGCGTGAGGGGTGTGCCGGAACGTGTGTTGCGCTGCCATGCGGGCGCTGCTATGCGGGCCTTCGGAGGAGTTTCTTGTGGGGCCGCGAGATGTGTGAGAGGTGTGCCGACACGGACGCGCGGATGGCAGAGTGGGATGGGAGGAGTAAGGGGGAGGAGGAGGAGGAGGAGGAGGAGGAGGAGGAGGAGGAGGAGGAGGAGGAGGAGGAGGAGAGGTGGAGAGGATTATGATCGCGGGGCGCTGTCTTGTCAAAACGAAGACCGAACACCAGAAGATGGCTTGAAAACGCAGGAATACAACAAACAAGCAAACACGATCCAGTCGGTTTTGCCATGGTGGCTTGAGGGGTATGGTTTGGCACATGTAGTGACAGATTGGCTACATACATCGCCACAGCACAGCGTCCAGTCGCCTGGCGCCTCTACGTGACCGTCTCTTGTTTGTATGTTTTCACTTGCTTCTGCTGCTTAGCCTTGCGTTCGGGTCCATTACCGGGTTCAAGGGCCATCAGCAGCTTGTCTAAGGAGGAAACGCTGCCCTTGGGAGGGGCACGATACATTTTAGGCGCACGCTGAACATGTTATCAGTTGGAAGTCTGGGTCTGGCGTCCTCCCGTGGTCCTGGGCGGGGGGAGCCACCTCCTCCTGTGCGTTTTCCCTGAGAGGGCCCGTAAAGTAGGAACAGGCGGGGCCCAGCAGGTCTGGTTGGGCGCGAGGTCTGTAAAGGAGGTCTCCACGAGGGGCATGTGTGACCGCGAGGCGCCATGCCGCAGTTCGATGGCGCGTGCTCTTGCGGCTGATCGACCTGAGGTCTCGGGTGGCGCAGAGTTCGCTCTCGTGGACCGGCCCTCGATCTCCAGGCGCGCAGCTCCCGTTTCAGCTCCAGCTCCAGCTCCTGCTCCTGCTCCTCCTCCTCCTCCTCCTCCTCCTCCTCGTCCTGCTGCCGCTCCTCCTCCTGCTCCTCCTCCTCCTCCTGCTGCTCCTGCGTCTCCTCCTTCTCCTCCTCCTCCTCCTCCTCCTCCTCCTCCTCCTCCTCCTCCTCCTCCCCCTCCTACCACCCTCTCCTCCCTGAGGCGCATTAGGGTACTTTTCCGCACCCCTCTCTGTTCACTCAGCTATTTGAACATGTCGTTGTCCCGAGAACAGTCCCTTCTAGGAGCTGGATCCCGACGAGTGCTTCGAAGCCGCGGTGCCGATGTCTCGATCGGCTCTGTGTGGACTAAGTCATGACCCAGGAGCCCAGAACTTTTGGCGTCCTGACAAACGCAGGACGGCAAGTTTCTGTTGAGGTTGGACCTTCGGAGGCCGGCTTTGGGCCTTTGGACCGACAGACATGACCCACGGCACGAAGTGCATATGGTGTTTTGGGTCGATTGCTGCACATCTGCAAGCGTCAGCCTTTTTATCAATGTGTCCAACGAGCCAGAGGAGCCCTCCGATCGGCAGCGAATGACCGCTCTCGTTCGCCTTCCCCCTGTTCCTGCCGGTGCCGCCGCTGCTACCGCCGTTGCTTAGGACGGGCTCGAGAACTGGCAGTGGGAGTGGTCGCCCGTGAAAATGGACTGGTGCTGCAAGTGGAAGAACCAAGGCTGCAGCACTCCGTCGACGACCTCGCCAGAGAGGCCTCTTCGCATGTGCCATTGACAGGCCGTTGGATTAGTGGTTAGATATGTGGATGTACTGTTGTGCGTTCTCTTTCTTTCGGTCTTTCCCTCCTTCCCTCTTACTTTCCTTCCTTCTGTCTTTCTTTCTTTCTTTGTTTCTCTCTCTCTCTATTTCCCCTTTCGTGTACACACATATGTCGTGTGTGCGGATGTTTGTTGGGTCTTTGCGAAGACGGATGCGCGGGTAGGTCGATTGATAGATCGGTCGATGGGTGGTTGGATCTGGGTGGGCGGCTGCATTGATGTTTGACTGCATGGACGGATTCACCGGTGGATGGAAGCATATATGGATGGAGCAGTTACAGTGGTCCGTGGGACGATGGCGTTGACGGGGAAGGAAGAAGGCTGCGACCATGACGCCGTTTCTGATGCATATGACCGACGGACGATCACGACGATGATGGCGACGGCAGTGATGGCAAATATCATCGACAACGATGATCGATGACGATGGTGTTGGTGTTGATGCTAATGCTGCTGCTGCTGCTGATGATGATGATGATGATGCTGATGCTGATGACGATGACGAAGGCACTGACGATGCTGATGATGAGGATGGTGATGATGCTGTTGATGATGATGCCGACGACGACGACGACAACGACGACGACGACGACGATGATGATGATGATGATGATGATGAGGATGATGATGATGATGATGATGATGATGATGATGATGATGATGATGATGATGATGATGCTGGTGATGATGATTCTGATGCTGATGATGGTGATGATGATGCTGCTGCTGATGATGATGGTGATGAAGGCTGTGACTACTACATAAGTCGTGATGTGTGCGCTGATGTCGGGGTACGGATGATAATTATGGTTACGACGACCACGACAGCGACGCGTGCCTGCCTTCTCTTCCGCCTCCTCGTGGACCTCCTCCTCCGTCTTTACCTCTTCCTCTCCGTCTTCCGTCCTCCTCCTGATCCTCCCCGTTTTCCTTTTCCGCCCGGTTGAGCACTGCGGCGACAATGATGGGCTCATTTTGCTCGCAGGATGCATTGCGTTCCTGCCTCCCATGGACGCTTCCGCCCCGGTCTCAAAGCGGAGCGTCGGACCGTCGTCCCTCTTGTCCTCCCGAGGGCCGCCGCCGACGCTGCCGACGCTGCAGCCGACGAGGACGCCGACGACGCCACCGACGCCAGCAGCGCCGAAGCCGACGCCGACGGCGCGGGCGCCGCCGCCGTCGTCGCCGCCGTCGACGTCGGCGGCGAGCCGCCGCCGTCGTCGCGTCGGCCTCGTCGCCGCACTCGGCGGCGGCGGCCTGTTGTGGCGGCGGGCCACCCTCCGCGCCTGCGTCCTGCGCTCGCCGCCACGCCGCCCAGGCCACCGCCGACGGCCTCGCCCACGCCCGCGCCGACGCCCGCGCCGTCCGCCGCGCCCACGCCAGAGCCGGAGCCCGAGCGCGAGGCCTCGCTTGCACGCGCGCGCGCCCGCGGGGGCCAGCGCGCCGTCGTCGTCGGCGCCGCTGTCGTCCGCCGCCGCCGTCGTCGTCAGCGCCGCCGCCGCCGTTGCCGCCGCCGGCGCCGTCGCCGCCGTCGCCAGCGTCGCCGCCACCTCGCAGGCGCCGCTGCCAGCATCGGCGCTGGCGTTGTTCTGGTCGTGGTGGTGGTGTCGGTGGTCGTCGTCGTCGTCGTGGTGCTTGCCGCCGTCGTCGTCGTCGTCGTCGTCGTCGTCGTCGTCGTCGCCGTTGACATTGGAGGAAGGGGGGACGGGGTAGAAAGGGAGGCGGTTGAGGAGGGGCAGGGAAGGGGGGAGGAGCAAACCGGAGGAGGAGGAGGAGGAGGAGGAAGGATGGGAAGGGAGTCGGAGTAGGAATGAGAAGGAGGAGAAGGAGGAAGGAAGAGGAGGAGGAGGAGGAGGAGGAGGAGGAGGAGGAGAAGTAAGGAATATTGGCTTGTTGTCAAGATGGGGGGAAGAAGGATGAGGAGGGGTACGGGAGCGGAGCAGAAGGCGGAGAAGGGACGTGGTGCAGCATGAGAGAGAGAGAGGAAACAAAAAAGAGAGAGGGTGCCCCTTTCTCCTTCTGTTGACCTCTTCTCCCTTCCCCTTTCCTCCTCCACACCCTGATCATACCGTTGCGTGCGCCGTTCAGGGTCCCCCTTGTCGTCGCGGACATGTGTTTCTCCAGCCGCTTTCAGGGAGCGCCCCTGGCCTGGTCTCGCCTGTTCGGTACTTGGGGTGCACGTGCATCGTTGGAACAGCGTTTGCCGAAGGTCTTTTCATAATAATCTGTGGCCCAGGTTTCGCAGATGAATCTTCCGCATCCAACTCCTCGTCCTCCGCCTCCTTCGTTGGTCACGCGCTGCGTCCTCTTCCTTCTTGCTCATACCCCTCCTCCCTCTATTCATGATACTTCTTACATTTGCCGTCGTCCTCCTCCTCATCCTCCCTCCCTTCCCTTCCCCCCATCCTCCTCTTCCCACCTCTTCCCATCCTCCTTCCACTACCTTTCTCCCTCCTCCCTCCATCCTTCCCCCCTCTCCCCACACTCTGCAGCATTCGACCGAGTCCCCCATAGACCACCTGTATGAGTCCAGAGGAGCCCTCAGCACCTCCGAGAGCCCTTTAATCTATAGATTCTGGGGAACTCCCTCCCCCCCTCCCTCCACCTGTGCTCCCCCTTCAGAGCTCGGGAGGTGAAGCCAGCTGAGCCCAGGCCGACGGTGCGAGTGCGTATTCAGGAGGCCGAGGGTCTTGAGCAGTTTGAGATGCTGAGGACGGGGCCGCCAGTTTATGTTTGTTTGGTCCTCTCCCCCTAGTCGAGGCGGGGAAGCGCTGCGGGGTGTGGCGGACGCACTCCGGCGAGCAGCCACTCGTAGCTGCTCGAGACGAGTCAAGCGGTAATGAGTCGGACTGAGGGTCCTGCGCCCTAATCTGTTCGGTCAGCTGTGGCCAAACAAGATCAACCATTACTCCTCCCCTTCCATTTCTTCCTCACCACTTTTCCTTGCGATTCTGCATGTCCCCCCCGAACCCATCCTGCATTGTCCTCACGGTGTGCCCAACCCTTGCGCAACGCATGGCCAGAATAGTTGGGTAGACCGTATACGGGGGGATTGCACGTGGCAAGGAGGTTTTCTGCGAACGGTATTTGGGAGGCTCGCGATCTGCCCGATTCGCAGGATGCCGATCAATGCGCAAGGGTTCGATGGATGCGAATCGTGAGTTCCCTAGGTCGCGGGAAAAGATAGGCGAGGACTAAGATGAGAAGGCGGCCAGGGAGCTTGAAACGCCAGCGGGGCAGCAGCAAGAGGACATGGCAGCAGCACGAGAGTGACGATAACATAAAGTCAGAGGCCAGAGAGAGAGAGAGAGACGACGTGTATGCCAGCAGTCGTACACACTCAGTGGCGACATTTACGCAAGCCGCAGACCCCAGAGATGGCGATGTCCAGTTTTAATGTGGGTCGAGCTTCTGAAGGTGCATGGCCTTCCTCATTGACGTTGTCGTGGCGCTCCTGGACACCTCTGCTTCCGCGGGACTTGCGGCCGCGGCTGGTGCGGGGAATACTTTGTTTCGGCCTGCTGAACTGCCTGCTGCTGGCAATGGTGCTCATCGCCGTATTGCTCTTCCTCCTCTGAGTCTACTCCCATCAATGGACGAGTTTGCATTCCTCGCGCGCATCGGTGGCCACACGCCTCTGCTGGTCTTCCAGCGCGGTCGTAGTCGCCAAGCGTTGGGCGCTTGGCCATCAACATTCGCGCGAGCTGGGCGCGGCGCCCCGCGCGCGGCTGTGGTGCCATACGCGCTAGTGGATACTCCTAAGCCCTGGCACCCCTACCGGGGCGACTTCAAGGTGACGCCGCGCAGGCAGGCCGTCTTCGTTGCGAGTGGCGTCATGCATGGACATAATTGGCGCCACCTTGGCCAGGCCCTCAGACAGCATGACATCTTGCTGCTCACGTAAACCCACTCACGGCACGACAGACAGCCTCGCATTGGCCGAGCTCCCCTGTGGCGCTCAGGCCAGGTGGTCATCAGGGGCCGCCCATTGGGGGCGGGGTCGGGATTGTGGTCGCCGACGGTTTCCTGGGGAAGTTCCCTCGTCGCCGCTGGGTTCCCCTTTCGTCGTGGACGCGCTGGAGCCCTTCGTCAGAACGGGCCCTCGGGCTTCCAGATAGACTTGGTCGTCGCGTATTTCCCCTCTGCAGCCAAAGCCGACACCTTCTACGCGGACGGCGCCCCTGAACAGCAGGCTGCGCTCAGCCCGGCTGCCCAACGCCGCCGTCTCAGGGTGGAAGTCGCTCGCGCCCTTCGGTCCGCGGGGGCTTCTCACTCCCTCGTTGGAGGCAATCCAAGTGGGTGGTGGCTCCAAACGACTCTCGCGGGACGGCGCCTACGCGGGGCACCGCGACCGTTCCAAGGGGCTTCGCTGCATCGGCAGGCTCCCAGGTTATGTGGAGTTGCGCCAGCGCGTGAGGACGCATGGTCCCGCTCAGGCACGCTATCAGTTCGACCGGTCCTATGCCATGCGCGAGGAGGAGGCGGACATGCTGGACAGGGAGATCCTTCTTGGAGGGGGGGATTGGGCTTCCTATAGCTGTGCAACAGCCGCCCCGTCTTTCCGGGGCGCCGCGCGCCGACCTCCAGATCCTCCGGATCGCGGCCAATTCCGACAAGAGCGATCTCGCGTCCTGGCTGGGCCTCTCGGGTCTCGGCTGATTCTTCGAGCTGCAGGGCGACCGGCAGCCCGCTGACTCCTTGTCACGAGCTCGCCTTGCCGAAGCAGGCCATCCAGGAGGTCTCTAGGTCGACGGGGCAGGGGCGCTCTCGAGACTAGGTTGAGTCACCTGCGGATCGTCTTGGCGCCGCAATGTGGTTCGTGAGGGCTGTCGGAACAGTGTCCATCGCGGCCCCTGGGGGCCTGCGGAGCGCTGCCTTGCCCCTGGGCAGCGTGGCGTGGAACCCGTGCGCGCCTGGCCCCGCGGAGGGTGAATGCTTGCTCCGGTTCTGTTGCGCGCCTCGGAGTTGGCGCGGGGGCGCGCCAATCACGGTTCCGCGATGAGGCGCCGGGCTTGGTCGAGACGATGTTGAAGCTTCCTTCGCCCGCGCCCGCAACTTTCGCTAGCTGGCCTGCCTTTCCCCAGGTCGGAGGAATAATCTCACAGCGTCTAGGGGGTAAACGCCGCGATCCACGTTCGGCCGAGATCCCCGAGGACATGGCAAGGGACTTGCACGGGCGCTGAGAGAAGGTCTTCGCGCGGGGGCCGACTGATGAGGCGCTGCGCCAGCAGTGGCTCTCGGATGACACCCCTGCTGCAGCCCGCAGCCCGCCGCCCCTGGCGGCTCCGTCAGCTTGGTAGCACACCTGCGGGGGTGCACAACGTGGCCTTCAGCTCGCTGGGCCATCTGTTCCTGGGCCCGATGGTTTCCGGCCCGCCGCGCCCCCGGGTGCCTCACGGCCCGGGTGGGCAACGCGTTGCGCGCCCGCGGCGATCTCGGCATCAATGCTGCGCGGGCGTTTTTTTTAATTCCACAGAAGGAGGCGGGCGTGGACGAGGCCCGCGGCGTCTGGTGTGACCCGCAGAATGTATGGCCGTTTAGCGTCGCGAATTGCGATGGAATGGTCCTCTTGCAGGCGGTGCAGCTTCGGGTCGAACCCCTCTTCGAGGGCTGGGTCTCTCGCTCCCGACGTGGTTTCGTTAGCGGCCAGTCGCTGTTGGCCGGCGTGCTGGACATTGAGGACGGGGTGATGAAGGTCTCGCTCCAGCATGCGCAGGGGTTCTCGGGTCCCCGACCCTTCACAACGTTCAGTCTTGAGCCAAAATGGCTACGGACTCCTGCTCCTGCTCCTCCTCCTGCTCTTGCTCCTCCTCCTCCTCCTGCTTCTCCTCCTCCTGCTCCTCCTCCTGCTCCTCCTCCTCCTCCTCACCACTGCCATCCCATCGGTCGAGCAGGGAGCCAGCCTCGACTTGCTCGCCCCCCTCGGGCCCCCCGACTTCTCGTGCATATTGCGGTGGCTCGCCAGCGGTTCCGCGGCTTCGCGGTCGTGGCTGGGGAGGGGGACCCCCTCTCGCCGCACATCTTCGCTATCGCGGCGGACCTCCTGCTGCGGCGCCTCGCCCGCCTCCTTCCCCGACGCTCTGGCCCGAGCTTGCGCGGGCGACCTGGCGTCGGCGACGGGCGACATGCTTGCTGTCGCCCCGCGGCTGGAGGCGCTGTTAGAGGAGCGTTCTCGCCTCTCGCGGGCTGCGCCTCCTCGCGGGGAAGTCTGTCAGCATCCCGTTGTAATTGTTTCCGGGGGGGGCCCGAGGGTTCGCGCCGGGCCATCTCCCAGGTCGCGACCGCATGGGCCGCCATGCGGGTCGCGCACGGAGTGCCTCGGCTTCGTGTTGGGGCCGACGAGTAGCCGCAAGTCGCGGTCCATACCGCTCTACGATGTGCTCGAAATGGCTCGGGCGCGGGG